TGTTCATTGTTCTGCTTAGAAAGCTCTTCTCCAGCATGCTTGGCATGGCTGGTTCATTCTGATCCTTCAGAACTCAACCCCTTTGCCTCTATGGAACAACAGTCGTTCCTGACTGCCCAATGGAAAAGGACTGCCCCATCCCCTTCCCCTGCCATCTATTCCTGTCATTTCATCCTGCTATTTCCCCTTTTAGCACTTGGAACAATCTCAGTTGTTGTTCCAGTTGAAGGTAACTCCATTTTTCCAGTTGCTTAGACCCCAAACTTTGGCATCATCATTGACTCCTTTCTTCTTTGTCTTTTAGAGATGGGTCATGCTCAGTTGCCCAAGCTAGAGTATAGCAGCACAATCATAGCTCACGGCACCCCTGCCTCCTGGACTCAAATGATCCTCCCACTTCAACCTCCCGAGTAACTGAGACTATAGTCACAGGCCACCACAATTGGTTAACTAAAAAAAAAAAAATTTTTTTTTTTTTTTTTTTTTAAAAGATAGGGTCTCACTGTGCTGACCAGACTGGCATTGAACTCCTTGCCTCAAATAATCTTCCTGCCTTGACCTCCCATAGCATTCTCTTCCTATAAACCACTGGGAAACAATGATGGCTCTGTCTTGAAAATGCAGGCTCCTGGGCATGGTGGCTCACACCTATAATCCCAGCATTTTGAGAGACGGAGGTGAGAGGATTGCCTTAGCCCATGGGTTTGAGACTAGCCTGGGAAACATGGCGAGACCATCTCTACAATAGATAAACAAATTAGCCAGGCGTGGTAGCTCACGCCTGTAGTTGCAGCTACTTGTAAGGCTGAGGTGGAAGAATCCCCTGAACCCAGCAGGTGGAGGCTGCGGTGGCCATGAGCATGCCATTACACTCAAGCCTGGGCAACACAGTGAGACTCCAACTCAAAAAAAAAAAAAAAAAAAGGAGTGAGAAGAAAATACAGGCAATATGACCACTTCCCACCACCACCTCTGCAATCACCCTGTCTTGGTCTGCGCCATCATCATTTCCCACCTGATTACTAGAATAGTCACTTAACCAGTTTTCCTGCTAAAAACCGTGTTTTTCTTCTTATAGTCTACTTTTGATAAAACACTCAAAGGGACCCTTTAAAAATTGTTCAGGTTGGGGTTGGTGGCTCAGTCTGTAATCCCAGCACTTTGGGAGGCCGAGGCAAGTGGATTGCTTGAGTTTGCAGGTTTGAGATCACCCCGGGCAACTTGGTGAGACCTCATTTCTACAATAAACAGAAAATTAGCCAAGCATGGTAGTGTGTGCCTGTAGTTCTGGCTACTTGGAAGGCTGAGGCAGAAGGATCACTTGAGCCCAACAGGTTAAGGCTGTGGTGGCTGTGAGCATGCCACTGCACTCCAACCTGGGTGACAGAGTGAGACACCAACTCAAAAAAAATAAAAATAAAAAAGGAAAAAAAAAAAACAAAACCTGTTCATATCCTCTGGTGGCTTCCCATTTTTCTCAGAGCAAAATTCTTACAACAGCCCACAAGCTCAAAATGAACCTCCTTCCATTATCTCTCCAACTTCTTCCTTATTGTTTTATCTTGCTGGCATTTAAACTCTTGAGGGTGAAATGTATTATCTTTATTATTCACCAGTGTATCCCAAGTACCTGACCGTACATAGCAGGGGCTCCATATATATTGTTGGAGTAAGGGAATGCATCTTGTTTACTTCTTCATCGTTTATTTTTCCGCTGTTAGCATGTAAGATACTGAGGACAGAGTCCTTATTGGTCTTGTTTAATAGTGTATTTAAAGCATTTAGAAGAGTCCTCAGGGCTTGGCCTGGTGGCTCAAGTCTGTAATCCCAGCACTTTGGAAGGCCAAGGTGAGGATATTGCCTGAGCCCATGGGTTCGAGAACAGCCTGGACAACTAGGTGAGTCCTCATCTCTACAATTAAAAAAAAAAAAAAAAAAAGCCAGAAGTGGTAGCACACGTCTGTCGTTCCAGCTACTTGGAAGGCTGAGGTGGAAGGATCTCCTGAGCCCAGCGGGCCTAGGCTGTGGTGGCCATGAGTGTGCCACTGTACTCCAACCTGGGTGACAGAGTGAGATTCCCACTCAAAAAAAAAACAAAAAAAATCGTGCTCAGTAAGTGCTCAACAAATTCTTATCGAAGAAATAAATGAATACCTACTGTGAAAAGATTAGTGCATCTTCTTACACTAGACTGAGTTAATGAATACATTATGCTTACAGATAGCATGGTTTTCATTCACCTCTCCTGGGCAGCCATCTATGGTGGATCAGAGTGTTATGTAACAAAGTAAAGAATGAACTGTTCATATAAATAGAACTTTATGGGAAGTGAAATGTAGGGTCATGGTTGCCCCAAAGTTACAATCGTTTAGTGAACTGGAATATATCACGATCAGTATACATCACAGCTCTTTCTGCAGTTTACCCTGACAACGCAAACTCTTCTGCTTAACTTCCTGAGGAAACAGAAAGCTACCACTTCGCTGGTAATTTGCAAAACTGCTTACTCTAGGGGCTTTTGTGAGGCGGGCGGATTTGTTTACAAAAATGAAAAAAAGTCATTTCAGTGTGTAAGAGTACTTTCTTTCCTTTTAGGAGAGATTCACACTGCCAGTGACTTACATTATCTGTTTTGTTTTCATCTGTATTGAAGGGCATTCATATTATCTATTCCTCTGTGCAAACATAGGGGATCCAAAATGATTCTCTGTGATTGTTTGGATTGTTAATCTCTCCAGGGTTTCCTCAACATTCTCAACGGCAGTTTTTGGCACCAAGGGGAAAATGGAGAAGTAGAGATGCAATTTTATCTCCCAATTGAACTTGATTAAATGAGGACTGTGCTAATCAAAAGTTTGAATCCGGGAGGAGTGCAATGTTGTTAACAGGTCTGAGAATATTTGAGAAGAACAGGGAGGAAGTGTACCAAAGTGAAGACAGAAAAAAATCAAGCAAGAAAATAATTGTAGTAAAGCTTATTAAGGCATAAAATTAGGTGAACAAATTGCTTCACAGATAGTGTTAAGCTTATTGCTAGACTGGCAAAGGAAGTGGAAGAAAGCTCTTTGAAAACATTATTTTTATTATTTTAATAATTTGTGTAGGAATCATAGTAGCTGCAATCTGTTAGCCAGAAACAATTGCCAGCTGGTGTCATCATGGAGTAACTATAGCAGGCTGAATGCAAACATGTTTTTCCTTTTTACCTGGAGAGCATTCAATTTTAGAAAGTTTCTATTCATTTCTGCCTGAATGTGAGGTCTGCCCTTGTAGATAAGGAAGCCTGTTTATTGTGTGATTTAAGAGCTTTGATTAGGTTCACACCAAGTTCCACAACTGTAATAGGGAGACCACACCTGGGATAGACTGTGTTTATACAACCAAAGTTACCTATCATTAAAAATGAATACTTGGGTATATGCCTGCCTGAATTATCTATATAATTGCTTTGATTCTATGCACTGTTTTCCTTGTGGTTACCTCAAGGAAATGGTGGCACTTCATCAGCTATTGTACTGAAAGCAAAAACAGATTTTCTGGGATAATGTTCCTTAAAACATTGAAAGTGTTAAAGGTGCACTTATTTATGGAAATATTCATTTTGTTAGCAACATAGCTGTTATATTTGTTATAATATTTTGTTTTGCAAATCTATATGATTTCTTTTAATAATGATATAATCATCTTATGATTTTTTTCCCCCTTGTTTCTGGAAACTCATAGACTAGGTGCCAAACTAACTCAGGATGTAGAATTGTTCAGCCTTGCCTATAAAGCCAGGGGGAGAGAGAAAATTATTTGATTGTTCTATTGCAATTCTGTTGTCTCTTCCTGCCTCTTGACTCAAAGGTCTCAAGAGGCAAGAGAGGAAATTATGGGCTGTTGTTGATGCTCATTGGATTTCTTCCGTGGTGATCTGAATGTATTTCAGGGACATTAGTAGTTTCTAATCCTGGCTTTGCTTTCACCTAGCTTTCCTTACTTCAGTTTCCTCATCTTTGAAATGGAATATTATACTTCCTTTATCTCCTTAGAGTGTTGTTATAAAGAACGAATGAGATGATGGCTAGGAAAGTACTTTCCACTATACAAATTATCACCGGCACTCTGGTTATCCATTTGGGTAGCTAACAAGGTTACATTTATTCATGTGATATCAAGTAATTTTATAGAAAATGAGAAACTTCTTAAATAAGGTAATACAAAAAAGTATGATGATTTTTCATTTAAAAAAAGCAAAGGTGTGTGTGTGTGTGTGTGTGTGTGTGTGTGTGTGTGTGTACATAATGCTAACCAGATGAGTTTAGGAAGTAACTGTTGGGTTTTATTAGGTTTTTGTTTTAACATAATTTCTTTCTTTGGAGTTTAATGTGATGTCATTAATAGGATTTTAAACTTAAGCGAGAGAAAAAGAAAGTGAATAAAATAAGCTTTAAAGAAGCTGATTCATCTCACCCAACACCTTTCTTCCTAATATAGGCTCCTACGTATCAGGAAAGACACAATTTGTGGTTGTTTATAGAGTTTAAAACAGGAAAGGAAGCAGAGGAGGGAAGTTTTGTTGAGAAGAATCCCACCTGTGTAGAACAATAAAAATAACTTTCCATGGGCAAACTTTAACATCCCTGAGAGAGATTTGGATTTTTTTTCTTTTTTTTTGAGTCGAAGTCTCACTCTGTTGCCCAGACTAGACTGCAGTGGCTCGCTCAGGCCACCACAGCCTTGACCTGCTGGGCTCCAGCGATCCTTCCGCCTCAGCCTTCCAAGTAGCTGGAACTACAGGTGCGTGCTACCACGCCTGGCTAATTTTTTGATTTATTGTGGAGATGAGGTCTCGCCAAGTTGCCCAGGCGGGTCTCGAACCCGTGGGCTCAGGCAATCCACTCACCTCGGCCTCCCAAAGCACGGGATTACAGGCTGAGCCACCCAGTCCAGTGAGATTTGGATTTTACCTGATAGCTGCAGAGAGGACACTCCGATAAATGGAAAAGATCGGCAGAATGTCTCAGAAAGACTCGAGTACTACATGGATTCATAAAGAGGTCAGGTGGGAAAGTGGGCTACTGTGAAATAGCTTATCTGTGGAATGCCAGGTATGGTGGTCTGCAGCTGCTAGGGTAGCCAGGAGGGACACGTTGGCCTGTGCCAGGGAATCACACGGCATTGTCCCCACCTTCAACACACTGCCACTGTCCACGTGGAAAATGGGTTAGGCAGGTCTAGGGATTGTGGTGCGGCAGTTACTCCGATCTGATGGTCCATCTATTCCATATCTTAAAAAGAAAAAAAAAAAAAAAAAAAAGAAGTGTTATGAAGCAAAGACCTGGTTCCGGAATAAATGCAAAATCTAGATGTTTGAAAAATAAAGTTTCCAAAAACACCTGCACACAAATTAGGGCTCCGCTAACGAAATACAGGCAAGGGTAGGTCCTATCTTCCACTGGAGCTCCATGCATATTGGCAGAATGAATTTTAGGAAGCGACCCCCAGTTTCCTTTCATAGTCTAAGGGTTGCACAGTTGTGAACACAATGGTTTGATGCTGAGAGAAATAAAGTGTGCCTGATACACAGTAGGCTCTTAATGGTTAGTTGATGAACGGATGCTGGTTGACTAAAGTTGTATAGTTGGACACACCAAGTTTGCAGATAAGGACGCACTGGAATAAAACTTGAGCGTCGGTTAGCAGGTCTTGGGCAGACATTAAAAGCAGTCTGGACCTTGGAGTTAAGGACGGACTGGAATAAAACTTGAGCACCAGTTAGCAGGTCTCGGGCAGACATTAAAAGCAGTCTGGAGCCAGTTTCCCTGCCGAGGAGGGAACAGCTAGACCGTGTGAAGTCCGCTCTAGGTGAGTCTACCCCGCAGTGTGCAGGTGTTATTCCTGCGAATTAAGGCCGGCCACCGGCAGCCCGAGAAGCTGCCGATTCGGAGGATCAGCGCCCGCGACGCCTTCCCGGGGCCTCTCCTCGCTCCACCTTTGCCTTTCTGCCACATCTCTCCCCGCTCCAGGCTGAAGGGATTCCCACCCCCAGCTGCCTCCGCCGAGCCCCGCGGAGCAGCGGACTCCTCCCCTGGAAACTCCTCCGGGGCTGGGGAAGGCTTTGGCGCATGCTCCGTACCTAGGGCAGGTTTTTGCTGCGGGTAGCAGGGCTCCAGTCGCACCGGCCGGCGGGTGGCGGCGGTGCCAGCCCGTGTGCGCGAGTGTGCCCGCGGGCCTGCGCCTGGGCGGACAGACCCGGAGCGGCGGCGCGAGCGGCCGGGAGCGGCGGCTCCGCGGAGGCGCCGCGCCCGCGGCCGCCGCGGGGGCGCCGCTCTGCAAACTTG